GGGGGGGGGGGGGGGATGAAGAGACCAGGTTTAAGGCTTTAGGGTCAGATATCTGAGCAGCACGTGTAAACGACCGGCCAGTGTGTATGGTATAAACGGCGCTCGTGCGCGTGTGTGTGTGTGTCTGGAAGTGGGAAGCTTTCCGAGATGGAATATTCGAGCTCGTAGCGCCCCCTAACCCAGACCTTTCCTTCCCCTCTGGCTTGCTTCCTTGAGTTCTTGGCATTGTTGCGCTTATATGTGGCGATGTTCTCTCTCTCTTTCTCTCTCTCTCTCTCTCTCTCTCTCTCTCCTCTCTCTCTCTCTCCTCTCTCTCTCTGTTTTATTCATTTAGCCTCTCCTTTATGGAATAATCTGCCCTGCCGCAGGGATTCTCATTTACAGATAGTTGCTCTGGCGGAATCATCTAGATGTAAATGCACTGAAAGATGTAGATACACGGATATATCGATAACTTGTAATTTTTTAGGGATATTCGTGAATACCTTTTTTTATGCACGGTGAGGTTAGCATATAGATTGGAATGGTTCAAGCTTTGAGTTCAGGCTAAGTTACGCAAAACGAAAGGTATAAATCGGTGGTGTTAAAGGCTGATATCTTCCAAATCGAGGATCAGAAATTGATCCCAACCTCGTTCTGTTTGGGAAACAGGATAAGGAAGAATTTTTACAATCTGAAGTTGCCCCGCGGTTGAGGAAAAGTGATATCAAAGATGGCTTTCCAACTTTTGATTTGCTGAATTGATAAAAAATTCGAGTTTGATACTGAAAAGTCATAAAAATATTGTGTTATAATAATTTGTTATTCATTATTTATAAATATACGTCTTACGTCAACTTATTTCAAATTTACATTTACTAATTATGTTAAACCATACTAACAGTATATATGTATTACTATTGATTTAAAGTTGTATTATATATGTGTATATATATATATATATACGCATGCGCGCGCCCACACACACACACACACATGATTAATACCATTGATGTATAAATACTTATAAAGATGGTATAAGAAGTGAAGAAATAGGCGGTAACAAACTTAATACACAAGAAACATTTGGCTACTTATTTTCAGGTGGGCGATCGAGTGGTTGCACTTCCTGATCACAAGGCGTGGGCAGAGCTCGTCGCCGTGCCAGCCACGTCCGTTTTCGCGCTACCAGCCGGCATGAGCTACCTCGATGCAGCAGCGATCACGATGAACTACACCGTCGCTTATATTCTGCTGTTTGAACTGGCCAATTTGACGCCTGGAAAGAGTTTGTTACTCCACAGCGCCGGTGGTGGTGTGGTAAGTCTCTTTCGATATTAAGAAAGCTACGATTATTCAACGTGATAAATTGTCCGAAAGCAATTGCTTGCATATCTAAAATTATGAAGTACAACATTAAAAAAGAAGAGTTATGAAATCATGTTCTGGAAAATTGAAGATAATCGAATTAATTGTTACGCTGTTGAAGAGGATTATGCAGCTAAGTGATCGTTTGCTGCCCGTTGATTGTATAGATTGGTACAGACAATTTGCGAGCATTTTCTGCGTGGTTTATAGCCACTTTTTGTCACATAAAGATACCTATAAAGATTAGTGTCTTATTTAGTAGCTAAAGAAATATCGTTAACTACGCATTTTAAAGGAATTCTACTTACCGACAGGTGATAACGTGAAATTGAAAATGAACATGAAAATAAAATTTGACACGTGTTATTTAAATTAAGGATAAAGATTTAAATACAAAGAAAAGAGTGAAGTATCTCTAAATAGAATAGCATGTGTTACGTTTACATATGTCGTTACGAAAATATAACCTTAAAAATTCTGACTTACCTGGCACTGTCATTGGACCAGTTATATGCATAAATTAGTGTATATATAACCTTAAAGCAACCATAAACGACATCTGTTGTGCATAAAATCAACGTTGCAGCAACAAGCTCTCCCTTCCGAAGTCAAAATTCCAAGTTTTTCAACCTTCTCCAGCGTTACCAAGCTCCCCGTCTGAAAACTAAAAGCAGTCCCTCATTAAACATATCACCCGGACATAAAAAAGCCATCCAAAAAGATCATTCATCGCGTTTCGTCGTTACTCCTCAAGAAAATGCTATTTCGGAAAAACGAAAGAAAGGGGGAAAGATACCCGCAGCAATTACGACTCAACGATACAGAGAGAGAGAGAGAGAGAGAGAGAGAGAGAGAGAGAGAGGGAAAGGAAGAGAAAGAGAGACCGATACGGTGCAAGGTTACTGCCCCTTTCGCGAAGTCGGCTCGAGTCACATCCGTGCAGTGCTTTCTCTCTCAATGTCGTCGAAGGAGAAGGCAGGAGCAGCCGGGTACGTCGGGATCAATACGGCTCAACAGGTTACACTCGAAGCTAACTACATCGCCCCCGCGACTCTTCCCCCTCCTCACCCCTCCACCTCTCTTTTAGCATCGTTGGAAGTTGAGACGACGAAATCTACGGGGGATGCTGCTGCCGTTGGTGCACGGAGCGACGGGGGTGTGAGGGTTGCCAAGCAACCCTTCGTTCTCTCATCGACCACCGTGACGGGCCGCGCCCGTCTGAGACCACACTACCACCAGTATTCCACTACCGCCATGGTATCACCATCAGCACGTGTTGTACGCTACTCTTAAGTACTGTTTGCACGAACGGTAGTACAGTTAGTTCGATTTCAGAATCGTCAACTTTTTCAAAGATTTTCGTATCATTATTAATATTTCGGTTCTATTAGGAAAAATACGAATGAGTATGAGTTATAATAACATAAACGTTGTTATATATAATCTAATTTTAATTATATTGAAAGAAAAAATACTTGAGTATAGTGAAGTATCCTTATTTAGTATTTCTTAACTAATCTCATATCCCAGTTCTAAACTTTATAGTATACGTTATATCATCCTTCATTTCATTAAAACATAAGATCGACTAAAATGATTATTTTCATATAAAATAAAAGAAGTAAATGAATAAAAATTACCTGTAAATAAAAGAATCTCCTTTTTATTACATTTAAAACATTTAAATCGTTGGATCCAAACTTGTCATTTCGTTATAACTTGGCTCTTACGTGCGCGCGTTCGCTTTTCGGTACATATATCATCGTCAGATGAGAGTTTGGGCAAGTCACGTGTACGAGGAAAGCTGGAAAAAGCACTTGACTTGAAATATTGCATTTCCTGATCATGTCAGACTTTCTTGTTTCAAATCCTCTAGTATCACCACCGTTTATGAACTCATATTTCGCCTGTATTACCATCCCCTGAATACATATATTCTTGTCGAGGTTTCGTATATTCGCAGCGAAACAAATTTGCGTTCTATTTAACCGTGTGAAATATGTTGGTGATCGTAGAGAACATTATGACGGTGGTGTTGGTTAGTAGAATATATAGTATAGTAATTAAATTAGAAAAAATTTATCTTTAATAATTAATTTTTGGAAATATTGCTCATTTACTGCCATTTTTCTGCAATGTCTAAATTTGAATACATGATTTAGTCGTATAGTAACTAAGGTCGTCTTACCCTTACTAAGTACTCTAGTATATTCATGTCAAGAGTAATTAGATAATGCCAAAAAATTGTCTCATCTATCGCACAAATTTTCCGAAAATAAAACACGAAATAATATTTGAAACCAAATTATTTCCAAAATATTATTTTCTCAGAAACGTACTGCAAGTCGAATGTCTAACCTGTGTAATTTACAAAAATTTCACGTAATCAGATATGAAATAAGAAACCAGAATATAATGAAATGAATAAACTAACCATTTTTGTATTATCCGTCTACATCATAACCTACAAAAGAGAAAAAACAAAGGTCGTATTAAAACACTTAAAGAACAAAAATGTTTTGATTTAACACACGTAATGACAGATATGAATTTTTAATAGAACATGTTTTACATAACAACAATAATACAGCGGTATTAATAATAATAATAATAAAGAAAAAAGAAGGCAAAAAGAATAAACCTCTTTATTCTGATTATATGTAATCACACAGAAAACAGAGTCCAATTGTCACAGATATTAAACAGATCGATGACTGAGGCGGTAAAAACAAAAGAAAAATTATATGAATATAGACAAATGGTGCCACCTATCGTTGCACGTTGGAATGATCACGTCGGGACATATGGCCTCTCGCAAACATATTTTAGGTAAACCTGTCAAACTACTACTTCCTCACCGATTTTGATGGGCTTGAAATATATTGTAAAGGCCATTATTTCCAACCTCTTCTTTTGAAAAAATTGAGGTATGGACAAAATTCAATGTATTAGTCGTAATTTTTTTTTTTTTTAACAGTAATATCTCAAAAACTAGAATTACCCACCAATATTTTCAAAGAGAGAGGTTATCCGAAACAACGCACTTTACAGCATATTTTAAGCTCATCAAAATTAATGAGAAAGTAGTAGTTCGACAATTTTACCCACATTTTATATTAATTTAAAGACATTAGGAAAGAAAATTTCTGACAACAAAATATAAGAACGAAACATTATATATTACATATAACACAGTGATGTAAAATGAGGATTTCTCCAAACGATTGGCAATGAGTTATGACGCACAATTTGGAGTGGCTTCTTAACATTCCGGCCCTCGTCTGCTCTCTTTTCCTTTTTGCTACCTCTTTCCTTCGATTTTTTCGTTTTCTTAAATTCTTGTTACTCTTTCTTTCGAGTCTGTCTGTCTCTGTCTCTCTTGCTGGCCACTCAAGGCTCTGGGATTGGTCAACGTTATTGGGTATCGAATTCTCGACAACGGACGGAACAGAGATGAGAGGAAGAGAGAAGAAAAAAGAGAGAGCGGTCAGCTCTCTCAATTCTCGGAAATAATGAATGCTGCTTCTGTTGAGAAAATCTCCAGCAGCTCCGCTTCAATTTTTTCTTCCCCATCTTGTGTCCTGTCCCGGCTGTTCTTCGCGGTTGCGCGATGAAAAGACTTCAGAAGACGCTTTTTCTGGCTGTCGGCAGCATAATGGGATTACGAGTTTGGTGAACACGATAGGGACAGGCGGGTAACTAAAAATAATTTAAGCGCACCCCCTGGCTACTTCTGAAATTTTAAAGATGGAAGACAGTATGTATATCCATCGCGCCTGAAATTTGTAAATTCTTTTACGATAAAAGTAACGCATTTTCATAAAAAATATCGTTACGAATGGGTTTTCAAAGAAATTTGTACTTTCGGGCTGTAAAGAATTTTTGAATAGCGTGCCAAAAAGGAAACTAGAAGCTAGGAAACTTCTAAACTGAATTTAAAATCTAAAACTCAGATAATATCGAAATAAAATTTTTTAATATCGACATGCAGTTTATATATTTGTAACATATACTTCAAAAGGTTAGAGTTTATATATATTTATTATTTCCAACCACAAATTTATCATTTAGCCATTATCGATTTATTATTTGTTTATTAAATTACTAATAAAGGATTAAGAAAGTATTCTAGATATTAGTATTCATTTAATGGATTAATGAATTGCTGTTTTAGGGTCAAGCAGTTGTCCAGCTGGCCAAGACCGTGAAGGACGTGACCATTTTTGGTGTATGCAGTAAATCAAAACACGAAGCCCTGAAAGCAGCCGGGACCATCGACCATCTCTTGGAACGAGGCACGGACTATAGCAACGAAGTTAGGAAGTGCGTAAGAAACTCCACAAGTTCCCTTTTTCCCTCGAAATATGCTTAAATATTGTGTAGATCTTTAGTGCATGTATTAATGTTCATTTATTGTATAGGATCTCTCCAGAAGGCGTGGATATTGTCTTGGATTGCCTCTGCGGCGAAGAATGCAACAAGGGATACGCTTTGTTAAAACCTATGGGAAAATATATTCTTTATGGGTCCAGTAACGTAGTCACTGGAGAGACTAAGAGTTTCTTCTCTGCAGCGCGATCAGTACGTTAACTGTGTGATTTAACTTAATTATTTTTTCCTCTCTATGTTCCTGTACAAAAGTTATTTCCCTCTTGTAATAGCGGTAACTAACTCATTTATGGGATCGACATGTCCCCTTTTCTTGCGAAATATCACTAGTATAGTGAGCAAATAAGTTGAAAAAATATAAGTTGAAAAAATTGGATAAAGGAAATTTGAAAGATTTCATTTATAATTTAATTTTACAAATTATAATTTAAAAAATTATTCTGTAAGTCAATATGTTTTATTAATATATAATTTTTCGTGTTTATTGCAGTGGTGGCAGGTAGACAAAGTATCTCCTATTAAACTATTTGATGAGAACAAAACTCTATCTGGATTAAATCTCCGCCATTTGATGTATCAACATGGCAGCCACGCATTTGTGCGACGAGCAGTGGAACGTGTGTTTGCCTTATGGAACGAGGGTAAGATAAAACCTGTAGTAGATACAACGTGGGCTCTAGAAGACGTTCCAGAAGCTATGCAGAAAATGCATGATCGCAAGAACATTGGTAAGATTGTGCTGGACCCAAGCCTTGAACCAAAACCGAAACCAGCAACTCCGGCCAAAGGGAAGACGAAGGATAAGAAAGCAGCTAGCCAAGAAAGTCAAGAAAAGAAAGCATCTAGTGTAGAGTCTGAGGAAGGGGAGAAAAAAAAAGAGCCTGAACTGACAAATGGAACATCCGAAGACAAATCTGATAGCGGTAAATAAATATAGGAAAAACGTTCTATAGATTATATTGTTTGTGGAAAAGTTTCTCATTACTCGTTTTGTTATCTACAAACGGTAACGAAATATTCGATAGTTTAATCGATCGATCATCTTTCCTTTGTTTGCTTTCAGATTCGAAAGAAAAAGAATCGAGCTGAATTAGCGGCGCTAGCTAATTCTAATATACTTATATACATAAAAATATATATAAAAAAATGTAAAACTGATATCCCGTGAAGATCAAGAATTTTGCAGATAAGTACTCTATTATTCCTCACTATTCAGAGATCTACTACGTTTGTTGCGCTAC